TGGAGATACAGAATGACAAAGTTTAAATGAAATAATACAGGCGCTATGCTTGGCACAGGACGTGGTAGGCAATAAAGTCTCAATAATGAAAATTATTCATAAATTGTAGGACAAAAGTCTATTTCTGTCATAGCTATTGTTGGGCAGGAAACCAGGAGTGAGATGTGCTCTAAAAAATAGAATTCTTGAAAAGATCTTGTACAATATATTTGAGCACTTCCTTCTCCTGGTTGAGACTAGCTCCAAACTTCGCTCTAAAAAATAGAATTCTTGAAAAGATCTTATACAATATAATTGAGCACTTTCTTCTCCTGGTTGAGACTAGCTCCAAACTTTAAGTAATAGGCATAGCAGAGGGGCCAGCAGGTGGTGAGGTGTACTCCCACATGGCCAATGGTGGTTTGAGTCCTGGACCTGGTGGATTTAAAATCACACTGGGTGTGTGTGCTTGTGTGCCCCAAATCTCAGGATGAGAATGGAGGAGAAGGGATCGTGGCATGACCACCCCCCTTGAGGGTGATTTCTTACTTTCCCTCTCATTATCTCTGTCTCTCTATGGCAAGCGCACGTGCCCTATAGCAAAAACCTAAAAATAAACAAATAAATAAAAAAAGTCATAGATGACATTTTTGGGGCACTTACCATATCCTTTGTATGCATGAACTCACATTTTCCTAACAACCTCCTGAAATGGATTTTATTGTATCATCATTTTATGGAAGAGGAAATGAAGACTCAGCAAGGTTACGTGACTTACCCAACACCCTACAGCTAGCTAATAACTGGCAGAGCTGGGATTTGAACCTAGCTAATCTGACTCCAGAGCCTTTGATCTTACCATCAGTCTGAACTGGCTGCATTGGATCTGTCTGTTTTCTGGGTCTTATGTCAATGAAGCCAGCCCTGAGAGACTCCAGGAAGTGACACATGGAGGCAGGGGATGGTCTGGAAGACCATGGTGCTCTAGCAGCCTCATTTGGAGACTCTTTGTTCCTGGTTCTTCCCAGGGATGTGCTACTGATCTCCACCCACATCAAGTTGTTCTTGCTGTGTCTCTCTGACCTCACTCCAGGCAAACCAGCTCATCCTGAAAAGCAATGCTTGGGAGTCCAGGAGTGGAGAGGCCGGCTGGGACGGCCTGTGTGGGAGGCTGGGCCACCACTCTTACTGCTAAAGGCTAAGGTGCCTTTGCTGCACAGCCTCTGTGCCTTTGCACACTCCTGCCTCTTTGTTTGGCCCCCTCAGGCCACACCCCTTGCCTCCACTCTGCACACCGTTTGAGTTTGCTGCGTTTCCTTCCCACCTCCAGCCCAGGAGACATGGTCAGACTCAATGACTTTGTGACCCATGCAGTGGGATAGGATTTAGGCTCATATGAGTCTTACATCTGGTCTCATACCCTGAGGTCTCCATCTTGAAACTCCTCATCATTTTGAACAAGGGACCTTGCATGTTCACTGTGCAGTGGGCCCTGCACTTGATGTGGCTCACCCCGCCCAGACCCCACCATGGCATCAGAGCACAGAAGCATCCCCAGCACAGTCTGAAGAGCAGTGCAGGGGAACGGGCAGCAAGGCCGGCACCCTGAAGTCAGGGCCCATATTTGTGAGGTCAGAGCATGCCGTGGGCTGCAGTCAGCTGGAGAATGAATTCACACGTTTCTCGGGATAATGTGAATTTAGTGGGTTACAGTTAATTTTGTCAGCCATGCCTATAAATAAATACAGCTAGGCCCCTGCCGCCTCAGTTAGCACCTGTTCCCACTGTCCCCTCATCACTCCAGATTTCCAGCCTCTTTTCCTCCTGCCCTTTCTTGCCAGTCTTCCAACAGTCCTGCTGCTTGGACAATGCAATCCAAATTCTTCCTTTCTTCCTCTCCTGGCCTACCTGAGATGCCGTCAACTCCTCACCTTTAGTTCTTTGCCTCCTTATCCTCCTGCTTTCTGGCTTCCAGTCTCTCAACTATCAGGGCTGCCAAATCAGGGGCAATAAAAGTTGCAGTGGTAATGCATCTGGACCATGTGGAAAGGTCCTAGGTTCATATCTCAGGACCTCCCCAAGGATGCTAGGTGCAAATGCACGTGCTGATGGTCTGGGCTGCAGAGACTATGGGCAGACTGTACGTAAGGACCCTGTGCATGGGAGGATTACTGTCTTTCTCTCTCTCTCTCTTTCTCTCTGTCATGGAAAAAATAAATAAACAAATTAGAGAAGTACTGGGCCAGCTCCATGGCCTAGTGGTTAAGGGAGTAGGATGGCCGACCATATGGTTTGAATTCCAGCCCAGTGACTTGAAAACATGCCAGGCACATGTATGTATGTGTCCTAAATCCTGACACAGTGGAAAATGATGAAGGAATTGTGGTGGGACCACATGGGGGGAGGTGCTTTCTCCATCTCGCTCTCTCTCTATCCCTCTGTCGCTCTCTGATGAGCACAGGCACCCTCTGACAAATTAAAAAAAATAGAATCGCCAAATCAGACATCACTTATTATGGCTCATAGTTGAACCAGCTTGATTTCCGAGAAATGCAGCCACCTTTTTTTTGGAGAGTTTTTTTTTTTTTTTGCTATAGGGCACGTGCGCTCTCCAGAAACACAGACAGACAGAGAAACAGAAAGTCAGAAATCACCCCCCGGGGGGATGGCCACGCTGCAATCCCTTCTCCTCCATTCTCCTCTTGGGATCTTGGGCATGCATGCACACGTGCCTGGCGTGAGTTTAAGTCATTGGGTCCAGGACTTGAACCACGGTTGACTACATGGGAGTCCAGCGACATAGCCATTACGTTAACTGCTGGTCCCATGCAGCCACCTTTTGACATTTGGGGGACTGAGATACTTTTGCTTTTGGGGGCCTTTCATTGATAAAAAATATTAAAAATTATAATTTACAACTGTATTGGTAAAGAGTATAATATAGTCTGGACTGTATTTTCTTTTTATTCTTTCTTAAAATATATTAAAACACTTTCATAGATCCTTAAGTATTATGGGCTCTAGGCACTATGCCTACTGAGCCCCATAGCTTTGCTTTGAAAGGTGGGATAAGTTTGAATAATGCCTTCCTGAAAACTTTTCTCTCAGAGAAAACATACTACCTTTTAAAAAATAATTATTTTATTTAACTTTTATTATTATTTAATTTGGTATAGGACACATGTACTTAAGAGAGAGAAAAAGAGAGAGAGAGAGAGAAAGCCACCAGGTCCAGGACTTGAACTATGGTTGGCCACGTGGGAGTCCAGTGCTTTAATCACCTTGCTACCTGCTGCCCCCAAACTATCTTTTATTTTATTTTATTACTTTTATTGGAAAAATAATGTAGTTAATAAAGAAAACAAAAACCACTCTCATAATCCCATACCCTAACACAACTCTTTCATCTGTGGAATGAACTTCTTTGAACAGATGTGAAGTTGTTTTACACAAGTCAACAAGTGTTGCACTCATGCAATTTTGTTTTCTGCTTTTTCCATTTAACATGATCTTTCTACATTGAAATTTAAAATTTATTTATTTATTTATTTTCAGGAGGTTTTTACCTTAGGGCGCAAGTGATCACTGGAGAGAAAGAGAGAGATGGAAAGTGAGAACTCACTCCCCAGGAAGGATGGTGACACAGCAATCCTTTCTCCTCCATTCTCCTCTGGGATCTTAGGCACACACGCACAAGTGCCCTACATGGTTTCCAAGCCATTGGGTCTGGGATTCTAACTGGTAAGCTATGTGGGAGTTCAGCACTGAAACACTGTGCCATCTGCTAGCCCCTTAACATGATTTTTATTGAAAACATTTTCCATATTTCTACAATTATCTGCATTATCATCGAGTTGATTTCCAGGGATTATCTAACTTCTCCCCCTCTTGGTTTTTCAGTTCTTTTCTGTCTCTGTGTTAAGTCTACTTTATTGCTTTCTTCTTTTATACATTTAAACTGGGCCATCTGATCTTTCTGTAAATCCTCTCTCTAGGTAGATTCTTGACTTCAACTATCAGCTTGTAGGGCTGTGAAGATGTTTCTTCCACGTGGCAGTAAGTGTCCCATAGTGGGTGTGTAGGATCTGCTCATGCCCTTTCACACTGCACTGAACAGCCATCTAGACCACGGGGAAGAATCTTGTTAACTTCTGTGTTCTAGGAATGGAATCAGACGGTCAGAAGCTGAAGGCATCTTAGACATAATCAAGTCCAATTTCCTTATCTTATAGATGAGGAAACTGAGGCTCAAAGTAGTGAACTCACTTGATTATGGCTATAGAGCCAGTGAACAGGGATTTGAAACTTGGTTCACTGACCCCTCAGGTTGTATGCTCTTTCTTTAATATCATACTCTCTGGATTTAATGGAAAGGAACTTTAACTTATATTGCTATACCATTAGATTGCGACTTACATATTACCGAATTACATTTACAAATATTAGGTTGTCAGAAAAGTCATGATGTGTGTTTCTATGTTTTTCTATGCAAAAATACGTCATGACTTTCCCAACAACCCAATAGTTTGTTTTCTCTTTTATGTTTTTTTTTTTTTGGAGAGGTTTTTGCTATAGGGCACATGTGCTCGCCAAAAAGACAGAGAGAGACAGAGAGATATAGAAAGCGAGAGATCACCCCCTGGGGGGATGGCCACACTGCAATCCCTTCTCCTCCATTCTCCTCTTGGGATCTTGGGCATGCATGCACATGCGCCCACCATGAGTTTAAGCCACCGGGTCCGGGCCTCGAACTGCGGTTGACTATGTGGGAGTTCAATGACAGCCATTATGCTAACTGCTGGTCCCCCCTTTTTATCTTAATATTACTCCAATGGGGGAAAAATGAGACTGCCCACATTGCAATTTTGTTTAAATTCATACTTAAAAATGATCTGATGCATTACAGTAGAGGAGCTTAACAATGGTTAGCATCGCTTGTTCTCTTGAGAGTTACTTAATCTCTGTGATTTATTGGCTTTCTTATTATTGAAGTTTCCCACAGTCAAATCAATTGATCTTACCTGTTCAGAGACAAGGAGCAGATCAATCTTTGGCCCAATATCACAAGGCCAACAGTGGTGCTAGCTACCTGCAGACAACAAAAGCATTCATTACTAAGGTGAATGAATCGGTCCATTTGGGTCATGAATATAATTTCCAGTAGGAAACATTATAAGCCTAACTTTCCCTCTTATTCTAAAAGATATTGGAAAGAAATCACTCTGAAAATCTCATCTTGTACACAGAGACACTAAGTGTAAAGACTTTTCTTGGAAGATCTCCTTTAGATATTATGTTCTTTTCTCCTAATTTCTCTTCTCCGAGTGTATGTGTATATGTATGTGTATATGTGTGTGCATGACATTTTGCTTAGGTTCCTTGTACTGGTCCTCTTCTAACAGATTGCATTTGGCCTTTATCTTCTCCAATAAACTTGAGTTCTCCCTTGCTTGACTTATTTCGAGGAAAGGAGGAATTCAAGTATCCATGTAACTTATGTAGTATGAAAAGCACCCATGAAGTAGAAATTGGAGAGGTATTTTACAATGTTCAGGAGCTTAAGCGGTGGCTTTGACACTCCTACCCCCAACACGTGCACGTGTACACACACACACACACACACACACCTGCTCCCAGTCTTCACTTTGTCCTCACTCTTAACTGAGGTATCTCCTTCCAAACTCCAAACATTTAGAAGCTGCTGGCCAAGGGTTCAAGGTAGAAATGGGGTTGGCTTCCACAGTCTGCCCTCCCATCTCCCCAGACTTACAAAGTCCATGGAAACGATGGTTTCAATAGTTGAGTTCTTGGGCTGAGTGAGTATCATGATGGAGGCAGGGATGTCCAGGGTGAAGTTGCCTGGCAGTAAACTGATCACAGGAGGCTCCGTGGCCATGATACGCACCATGAAGGGCCGGGACAGGATGTAGATTTCTGCAATCTGCCCAAGTTCAGGGAAAGAAACAGAGGTCGGGACTCATGAGTTGATGAGAGGAAATTACAAATTTTGGGTGACCTGTGCTGCTTAAATCTTGCATTATGCAAATACAATGAAAAAATTACATGGAAAAAAAGACTCTTTAATAATGATAACAATAACAAAGAAAACCAAACAGTGATATCAGCTGACATTTATGGAACACACACCATGTGCCTGTGGTGTCATGTGTTATCTTGATTAATTCCCCCAAATCCTTCAGAGGCAGGTTCTATTAGTAACCCTGTTTAATAATGGCATCCAGCTGCCTTTTAGAGAGATTCACTGATTTTCTTTAAGTCCCAGAGGAATAAGTCGTACAACTGGGATTTAAATCTGCCTTGATGCCCTTGATCAAAACCAAAATGCTCCATGGCCATCTCTTTGTCCTCAAGGGTAAACCTGAAACTGCGCGGGTATCTTCCACCACTCGGTGTCCTATAAAGTCATGATATTACTAATTGCTCACTAACGCCACAAACGGGGGCCTAGTCTTTCATTTAAGGACCAAATCTTCATTTAAACGAAAAAGTCCTTTATTTAAGCTAATTATTTCAAGTGGTGGAACCTTGTAGAAGGAATGCATGACCAATTTTGTGAACTTGCAATGCTCTAAGTATACTTGACTTCCACTATCAGTAAATAATTGTGGATATTTAATTAAGGAAAAATAAAACTCTTGAATGTAAAGACGGATTCATGCTTGGACCAAAAAGGAATATAAAGTATCTGTAAGTTGGGGCCAGAAGATGGCATTAGTGGTTAAGGCACTGGATTCCCACGTGGCTGACTGTGGTTTGAGTTGCAGACCTGGCGGCTTGCTTTCTCACTTTCTAATTTTCTCTCTGTCTCTCTCTCTCTGTGTATCTCTGGTGAGCCTATGTGCCTTATAGGAAATTAATAAGTAATGATAATAACAAATAAAATAAATAATTATTTTTAAAAATCCATAAGTCTTCCCAAAGTAATTGCAATGAAACAAAGGCACTGCCAAGGAGTCAGTCAGACCTTGGGTACTTACCCGGGAGAGCACATTGCCAAAGCCTTGAGAGTTCTGAACAAAATGGTTGGAAATCTGGAATATAAAGAGCATCCCATCACTGTAAAGTTTTTACCTGGATTGTCTTTTCAGGGGAAACAAAGTATTCTCTGTAGTTTACGACGTGTGAAGCTGTTGTACTATAAAATGCCTGGTGTTTGAGGTAATCTATTGTTTTGCAGCCCAGTCATAGGACATCTGAGGCCCAGAGAAGTAAAGTGACTTCCTTAAGGTCACACAGGAAATTATATTACTTTTGAGGAAGCACTTAAAACAAAATGCTTGCTTGAATGTGTGTGCTCACTGGAGAAACAGAGAGAGAGAGACAGAAAGAGAGTGAGAAAGCACTCCCCAGGGTAGACAGCCATGACACAATCCCTTCTTCTCCATTCTCCTCAGGATTTTGGGCACACATGCACATGTGCCCAGGATCTTTTTCAAGCTGTTGGACTTGAACTGTTCAGTTGGCCATGTGGAATTCAACCGCCTTAACCACCACGCCATGACTGGCCCAAGGATGCATTTTGAATGCAGGGAGCACAGTAGACATTATTTATGCATAATCCATATGCATAAATGCTATGGTCATTAACAGTAAGTGTCCTCATTTACAGCAATTATAGACACATAGATGCTTAAGAAATTTACCTTCGGGATCAGCAGTTAGCATAATGGCTATGTCGCTGGACTTCCACGTAGTCGACCGCGGTTCGCGTCCCGGACCTGGTGGCTTAAAACTCACGCCAGGCGCGTGTGCATGTGTACCCAAGATCCCGAGAGGAGAATGGAGGAGAAGGGATTGCGGCGTGGCCATCCCCCCTTGGGGAGTGATTTCTCGCTTTCTATCTCTCTGTCTCTCTCTGTCTGGCGAGCGCACGTGCTCTATAGCAAAAAAAAAAAAAAAGAAAGAAATTTACTTTCATAGATTAATGGTTTCAAATTTGAAGCTACAAGTGTCTACTACTCAGCATTGTAAGGGAGCTAGTGCTGTCACACTTACCATTCTGAGTGTAAGAGTTAGACCTACTTGTGTAATTAAGATATGCACAGTGAGAAGATTCAAAAGGGATGCTTGAAAAGTTTCTGACTGACAGACTGGAGGGAGTGTTCTTATTATCAAGGAAGGTACATGGCAAAGAGAATCAATGAGTATCTGTACTATTACTGATCATTGCAGATAAGCAGCTATAATCACCAACATGAGAAATCTTTGTGTTGGCATATACAGAGAGTAATAAAGTTGTGATGATAAGCAGTGGTTATCTAGCACTTATTCTGTGCCAGGTGCTAATTTCAATGTTCGATGTGCATTTATGGCTTTTGGTGCCCAAATTGATCCTATAGGCATGGGACTACTATCCTTTTCCTGAAGAGGTAATTCTGGCACATAGAAGTTAAATAAATTGAAAATACTGAAGTTCATGGGCAATAAGTGGTGTAGAAGGTCTTGGAAATATTTAAGATCAATCCAGAAACAGTGGTCAGATATCATAAAAGACAAAGAAAATTTATAATCATTAAAAGCATAGTGTGGAGGCCAGCAGGTGGCCTGATGTTAGGGCACTGGATCCCACATGGCCCACTGTGTGGTTTGAGTCCTGGATCCTGCAGCTTGTAACATCTCAGTGCATGTGTGTGCCTGTCTAAAATCCCTAAAGGAGAAATAAGGAGAAGGGATTGGAGTGTGGCCATCCTCCGTGGAGGGTGATTTCTCACTTTCCCTCTCTCTCTGTCTCTGTCTCTCTCTAGCAGGTGCATATGCCCTATTTAAAAAAGCTAAAAGAGAAAGAAAAAAAGCATAGTATATATATAAAAATGTCTATCCAGAACAACATGATTTTTTTTTAAGGCTTTTGCCATAGGGCATGTGTGCTCATTGGAAAGAAACAGAGGGAAAGTAAGAAATCACTTCCCAGGGGAGATGGCCATGCCACAATCCCTTCTCTATTCTCCTGGGGATTTTGGGCACACACGCACACATGCCTAGCATGATTTTCGAGCTGCCGGGTCTGGGACTTGAACTGCTGTTGACCGTATGGGAGTCCAGCGCTTTAAACACTACACCAGGGAGGGTCCCTAGAACAATGTAATTTTTAATCCTCTATTTAGCAGAATTAGAAAGCTAACAACATTCCAACTAATAACATTCATTCCACTATTCTTTCATTCATTATCCTGCTAGGAGTGACAGTTTAAAAAGCTTCAGCAAAGTTATGATATAAAAATCCCATAATAGGATACTTATAAAAAGATTAAATGACGGTGCCAGTTGTTATCATCTGTTAACACTCCTCACCTCTTTGGTGGAGAGAGTGACATTGAAAGCTCCCGCTGTGAAATAAGCAAAGGACGCAGATTTAAAGAAATGCTCAGAGATTCCAAAGTAGAGCATAGAGTCGCTGCGTTCTGGAAGCACGAAAGGGACTGGGGAGAACGGAGGGTCGGCGAGGTTTTCCAGTGGGTAGAAGACACCCTGCGGGAACACAGAGAAAAGACAGTGAATCGGGGGAAACTCGAACACATAGGACCGAGGAGGGGGCCTCTTGAGGCAGAATTTCAGACACTTAGTAGGGATGGGAAATAAAAAGACCTCTGACTTCTTGACCAGTGACTGTGTTTCAAAGCTCTGATGAGTCCTGAGCATATTTGGGGGCATGGGTGTCCTCCCTGGGGTGTAATCCGGTGAGAAGCTTCTCATTGGTACTTTTCTCACAGAAAGGCAGGTGTGTTTAGCTGGAGTGGGCACCTTTGACTAGTTCCTGAGGTGCCACAAAGAGGTATCAAAACTTGACCATCAAAATCTGTGACTACTGAATACCTCAGGAGTCACAGAAGGACTCAGAAGGATCCAAGACGCCAAACAGCTTGGAGCACTTCTGTGGTATTCCTAACCTGCTGTTCTTAGCTATAGGACAATATTACACAACCTTGTCTTATATACAATGAAGTGACTTGAAAGACGGAGTGAGTGAAATAGAAACCAATTTGCATTTTGCAATTTTTCTTTTCTATGGTTTTTGACATAGGGTGTGTACACTCACCCGAGAGAGACA